GCTATCATTAATCGGCAAGGATATGGTTTATGGCCGGAATCACTTACCCGGCGGAGCATTTATGTTGAGCAAAAATGCAAAGCACATAAGAACTTTATGGAATCATAAAATCTGATCCTCCACATTGTCCCAAATGAAAAGGGGACACTATTTTTTACCATTAAATGATAACAGTTAATGAATTTAATGACCCTTTGCGGGCATTGTCGTTTTATTTCTACTCCAATGACTGGCCCCATGCAATAGCCATTCAGAGGTCTTTTTATTTCTTTCTCTGGTACGTACAGATAAATATCGCTTGCTCTTTTCTTCTAACACAATTGTTCACCGGAATAAGTAACCGCGGCCATAAACAATACCCTTGCCCATATATAAAAGTCAGAAACCAAGCTTTTGGTTTTAATGTAAACCAGAATCTAAACAGAACCCCGATGAAGATAAATTCGATTGAAAGCCAACCTGTCTGTGCACAATCTGGTAATTTGGTGCGCGGTTAAATGCTGTGGCAATAATCACTACTGACCTGCTGTTTGTCAGTCTCATTGAGAAAAATGCGCTGTTTAATGTTTGTAAGTAGTGCGTTTAGTTAGTTTATAGTGGCACGATACTCGCATTCATATGCATGTCATTCGCTACCTTTTATTCACAGTATCGCTGAGTGTACCGTTTCTCTTAAAGCACTTAACGTAATGGGAGATACTTTGCATTGATCCGAAGACTTCATTTAAAAGTCTGACTACGATTCATATCGGAAGCAAAAGCCCTGTCGCCATCCCAGTTGTTGGGAATATTTCGGGAACATTTTCAAAGCAGTGCATGAAGAAACGCACGAAATTTCAGCAATTAGGAATAAGATTAGATATGTGGGAAGTGTTTTCACCAGCAGGGCTATAAAGCATACCCGTTTAGTTGTGCTTTGGTCTCGATCTAGAACGCCACGTGCAGTGTCTCAGCGTCTAGGACAAGGTACACTGGAATAACCATTTATGGCTTATTGGTCGTCGTCAGTCAACTCTACCGAAATCCAGACTTGCAGCTCCGGTGCCTCGATCGCGCCGTCTTCTTCCATCTAGTATTACTAATCAAAAGCTCAGTCCATTGAACCGTAGGTTCTTTGCCCTTCCATCATAGTTGATATTTCAGATCGAAACCCACAGAAAGAGCCCGTGGCACATTCTGCAGAGTATTAAATTAAGTAACATTTTATGGCCAAAGAATGCAAGAGTTCCGCCTAGATACTGCAAATCTGGGCTTGGCAAGGCAGAGTAAAGACGGATAATAAGCTCGAAATGGTCATCTCTGTCTACTCTGTCTTTACTAGCAATATACAGTAGCCTCTAATCATACCGCGATTAGACTTTCGCTTTATCGTGGATTTGATATGTGGATTTGATGTTATGGAGTTTTCGCTGGTTCCTAGATTTCCGTGGGCAATGAGCCTTCTTATTTCTGGCACATGCATCCCCGGTTGGTTTGCCCCGTTGAGTTCATACACGGTACGTTATTGGCTATATTTTTGTTAAAATATATATTTTTAAAATAAGTTTGAAACTGCACAACGTAGTAAATTAGACTCCTCAGCGATATACAATACGTATGCTTGTGAACAGTATATTAAAAAGTACTTGTACATACAATTTCAGTAAATATTACCGTATTTAATTGTGGAATGATTTACCGTACTAACAACACAGGTATTAGCTAAAAGCCCAGATACGCGTGTTTCGCCGATCTTATGCCGCTGCCTGACGCAGTTGCGAGGGGTTCGGCTCGTCAGTGGGTCCCCCAGCTTTCCTATGTGTTATCTGGTATATGAACTCCAGTTTCAACTTGCCTTGTTTAATTTCTGAGGAAACTAGTGCGCGAACTTGGAGTAACTCTTTCGAAATAAAGGGTTAATATTATATGAGAGTGCGACAAATGCTCATAAAATGAGGCACGGTTTATAAGGACGCAAAATATACAAAAAATAACCATTGAAACATGTGGTTCTTGTTTCGCGGATTTTCATTTTTCACGAGGAGTTCTGGAACGCATCTGTCGTGATCGAGGAGGTATCACTCTGCCTACATCTACATAATGACAGAATGGCGTTCACCGACCAGTTTACGGGATATGGTCGGGCCGTTTTGTCTTAGGCAGTCTCATAGCGACTAGCGACACACGCAGATAATGGAGTGTGGACAAAGACAAGGGAGACCGGAATGATCATTTCTGTCTCATTAGCCGTCATCAGCCATTTATACACAATCCCAGGTGTGAAGTATTTGGGATTCGGACCCCAGACAATTGGTATTTGAATTCGGCGCTCTCCCACTGAGCCACAGACTGTTTTCCTGTTGGTACTCCACACGTGGGGTTGGATATGACCGAATGGTGACTACTGGTCATGCTGGTCTTCCTTGTCTTTATCAGTATCGCATTATCTACTTATACTACTAGTCGCTATGCGACTGCCTGCCAGGATCCTAGTTTGAGCTCCAAGGTACAAATGGACGAGCACGTTCCATGACCAGATAGGCGAGCCCTCCTATACCATAATCCGTATTTCCTATCACAACGGACAGGACAACCGGCTCGTGGCTCAAAGGAAGAGTGTCGCATTCATTGACCAAAGATCCCGGGTTCGAATATCACGTGATCTAAATTTTGGATTAGGTATGTCTGGCTACAAAATATAACTTGATTATTTGTTCCGACTCTTTTTTCAAGATGCGTACACTAGAGATTTTTTATCCTGACGTATGAGACCATATGCTTAAAGAGAAAAAGACGAGGAACTGAGTTGTTTCGATAAAATGCCAGGATCGAAAACCTGGAGGACACTTCCGTGCATGAAAAACGTGTCCGAACCCGTTGAAAGACACCTGAGAAAACATCGAATGCAAGTAGCAAGCAAACCAACGATCATATTTTGCAACCAGGTTGTACACCCTGAGGATAAGGTTAGTTATTCATACAAGAAAGAGGTCGTCTACAAGATTTCTTGTAACACCTGCGATGCAGTTTACTGTGGTCAAACTGAAAAATGGCTTCTGCTTGCACACATGAACATCGATTACCCGTGCAGAGCCGCGATCACTTGTCACAATTAGTACGCATACGCTGGATACTGATTGTCAATTTTCTTGGAACAAAATCCACATTATTCGCATTCATCTAAGAAAAGCTGAGAATATTCGGAGTTTGTATGTTCCAATAAGTTCTGCATTAATCGGAACATTGAACTAGATGCCATGCACAATAAACAGGGGAAAATGGATGAGGCGACAGTCAATCCTTACGGAATACCAACGCACAGCCGTGGTCGTTTGACAGGAATGAAAGGGCAGTATAGACTTCTAAGTACTTTTCAAGTCTTGACTATTTTGCATATTTGCCACAGGTCTGAAGACGAGCTGGGGAATCCGTTGTATCCCCATCCCTCTCCTCCTTCTCCACCTCCCCCTCCCTTCTGTATTAGGCAACCTAAACTCCGGGTTCATATTCCTGACTGTTTGGTTACTCGATTTTTAGTCATGAACATTTCCTTCAGCAATGCTATGCGCCGTCTACGATCTAGGCAGGGGATACTTTAGCTGTCTGCTCTCATGATTGTTGGCGCTGCCTATTACCTCCTTCGTTTTCGGTCCATCTAACACGCATAAATCAACTTCCCACTTGCAACGGCGTGAGATCGATCGACAATTCTCCCTTCACCGATTGACTGCAGACGGACAAAGTTCGGGGGCAAGCATTTCGACCGACACTCGCCTGATGTGAACGCTAACTGCAACTGCTTGCGAAGTTGCGTGTACATTCTCGGCCTCACTTAAAGATTGTTCACCTAACTCTCTTCCCTGCCCTCTGATTTTGGAACGTTCAGGCTGCTTGCCAAACAATTATCGCATCAAATACGAGCCCCAGCGATGAACCCGGATGCTGCTAATTATTGTAGACATGTGGTTTCCGGGCAATTGCGCCCTATAAATACTGTATCCCTTGTGCCTCTACCACCTTTACTGCGGTCGACTCGAGTAGGGATACGGAACTTCAGGTCAATAAAGTTCATGTTCCAGTGATCGCATCATCTTCTTCTGAATCTTCATGTTTTTGATCACCGCACCTCGACAGTAGTGGTGGACCGGGCGTCGGATGTGGTCTCACGGGGGGTAAAGGTTGGAGAGGTATTAGCCGTCCTCATCATTTAAGGAGTTTTGGCAGGGATGATTAAGGTGGTGGGGGTCGAGGACATCAGCTGAGGCGTCAGGATATCAGAAGTGTGATCACCGGTGACGATGGTAGTGGTCACCGTCGGGTGTGTTGACGCAGGAGCAACGATGGAAGGAGTTCAGGATGCAATAGACGGAGTTGTCGGTTTGTTGTTTTATTGGGTTCAGAGATGTCCGACTGGACGATCCGTGTGCGAAATGTTTAGGGACAGCGAGGGAATTTTGGAAGGGGTCGGGTGTATTCACCGTGAGTCGGAGGCGCTTGATACTTGTGAGTCGCTCTTTGACTTTGACAGTGGAGATCCGGTAAGCTTCGAAGATTGCTGCTCCACCCTTCATTGCTCCTCAACAGGATGTTTGATCCTGAGTGTGGTCTTGCCAGGTAGTCAGACCAGTTTTCATATCTTTAATGGATGTCCGCAGGTCATCCTTGTAGCGCCGCTGTTGTGCGCCTTGTCGGCGAACCCTTGTAGCCATATCACCGTAGAAGATCCGCCTGGATAAGTGCTCGTTGTCCATTATCACGATGTGATCGCTCTATCACAGTTTTACTAGACCTAACATTGCATGGATGCTGAGGATTCCGGTTCGTTTCAAGAGTCCCATGTCCTGGGTCCTGTCCTGCCACTCCAGTCTTAGCATTCGCCGGAGACAGCTAAGGTTAAAGTAATTTAGTTTGTTTGCTTGATTGACGTAGACGGCCCATACCTCCGCTCCGCATAGTGGAGGTGTAAGGATTACTGCCCTGTACATTTTGTGGTTCGTGTTGAATTGTACTCTGTAGCAGTTTCACGCCGAGACGTGCAGTCGGCTAAAAGCCCAGCTCCCATTGAGGATTTGGTCGACCACTCTGTCATCTACTTTGGCGTTGTTGAAGACGCTGCTGTGTAGGTAGGCGAACTCGTCCAGGGATGCGAGTCGTGCTCCATTCACGCTGGTATTGGGCGTGGTGTGTCCCTCCTCTGGTGCTGATTGATGCAAGACCATAATTTTGTCCGTGTTTACGGTCAGCCCGAAGTTTGAGCAGCCGAAGACGAAGGGGTCAATGCTTCTTTGCGTGGCTGCCTCGTTCGAGGCATAGTCGTCTGCGTGGACGCCTGCATTCGTCGGGTGTTGAGAAGCTGGTCGTCCAGTCATCGACATCGCAGATCGCCTTTGTCACCAGCACGTCCTGTCGATCTCACCTTCGGACGACATCGTACTGCGGCAGTTGCCAAAATCGCGGTTACGGATGCTTCCAGGTTAGCTTCCCATGGGTCGAAGAGAGGAGGATGTTGCTCAGGAGGAAATGGTGTTCCGTGTATATCTGCAGGAGAGGGAGGCTGTAGTCGTTGCAGCCGGCGATTTCATAGGGACCCAGTTCTCACTTCAAGTCAACGTGGTCTGTCACGACACGGACACTAAAGTCACCAAGGACGACTAGCTTGTCCTCTTTCGTCAAAGTCGCCAAGAGCGCATGAAGGTCCCCGAAGAATTAGTTTTTCACCTGGCCGGAAATGGTCATTGGGAGCCGAAGCGGAGATGATGATGGGGGTGAATATGGTTCCCTAAAGAGGCAGGCTTAGAGTCATGAGTTGATTGATGCTACCCTGCAGCAGACAGGCAGTCGTCTCACGATGTCATTGCGAATGGCAAAGGCGACGTCAGTATCGCAGCGCTGTGCCTTTGAGCGGCCACTCCAGACGAAGTTGTAGCTGACAATCACATCCTCCAGCTGACCATCTTCAAAGAATAGGGTCTCGATGAGAGTAGCGATGTCCACTTTGTAGCGTACCAGTCCTCGAGTAACTAGTGAGGTCCTCCTCTTCCGTCGACTGCTCGTCAGATAGCTCAACGAGCATTTCGGGCTGCCATATTGGGCACAGTCACTCTGACAGCCTGTGGGGTAGGGCTGGAGAGATGGGGACAAGAGTTGTTGGTGTCCATGGTTTTGGTTCGATCGCGAGTTTTGCATCTATTAGCCACCGCAAACTTGCAGACGACATGATTCTCCAACACCTTTCCTAGCTCATTCTCCTGCGAGGGTATAAGCAGTGCCGTTCCTAAATAGGGCTGGAGGAATGAGGGGTGGGAATGGGAGAAAAGTTACCGGATGTGGAAACGCAACACCGGACACCCTCATCTTGTTTAGCTCGCCGGGCGAGGCGGTTACTGGAGTGTGGCCGCTAGACAGAGTTTAGCATCGACGAGCCACATATGAGTTAAGTGCCAGTTAAGTGACGTGCGGTGTAGCCACGGCCTGCAAGAGACACATGATGCGACCACCTTACAGTATTGAAATCACTTTTCGTCACGTCATTGATCACTTCTGTTCACAGTCTATCGGTCCCTGAAGTCAGCATGAACTGAAGGAGCAGAGACGAGCATTTAGCTAACAGAATAATCTAAGCAGCTTACTATTTATAATAAACGAGTCTTTTACCTCAACTGATTGTCATTTATCGCTAACCGCTCTTAAGTATCCTTTTTAAGACTTAAATATACTTAAAGGCCTAAGTTACAGTTAAGGAACCTATGAACTGGGCAGAATACTAGCGAAAGTATCATGTTATTGTGAAAAACTTTTGGGTTGATGGACAGAATAGGCAAGAAGGGCTTTTGTCGCTATCTAACTAGATTGTATTACTTATGCTCACCTTTGTCTCTGTTAAGTGACACACGGCCTTAAGTAATAAACGCCCCATGGCTGACTAGTGAAAAGTTTGGTACTGAACTGAATTCGTGGCTTCACGTATATTTGCACTTTGGTGTAGGTCAAGGCGATAAGGAGGTTTATGGGCCTCCCGCGCAACAAAAATCATGTAGGTGCCAGAAATGTTTCAACTCATACGAAGATGAGAAATGTTGCACGTAGGAAGCAACTGCTCCTTTGGATTCTTCTCAGTTAAAAACACACAAAAAACAATAGGCGTAATCAAATCCTCATTTCAGAAGATTTGTTTGTTGAAAACTTTTACGCGGAAACAATAACAAGTCAAAAGGCTTTTCATCTGTCGACTAATTTGGCCGTCAGTCAAAAACCATTTACGAACCACAACGATGCTGTGCACTACAGTCGTTTGTTGGAGGTTATATTTAAATGATTATTACCACTGTTTTGGTTGGCTCGTTTATCTACAGATCCACGGAAATTCAGTTCGCTTGATGTGGCCAACCGTCCTTATTATTTGGACACTGTGAGGGTTCCCGCCGCCATAAAACCGATCCTTGGTGGCCTTGACAATGGCGGTCTCAGACTAGCTCAGTTTATTTGACGTAAAATAAATATGCGTGCTTGATGCACCAGTTTGCCACGCACAAATAAGAAGTACTAACGACCATGTAGTGAAAGCCCTGCAACCGGACAAATTTTCTCATACGTAAGAAGAGGAATAATTTACGTAGCAACCACATCTGTTTGTTTCTGAAACATGTGTCTGTTTGAAGTTTTCCGCAAGCTAAAACATCACAGTCGCCTCAGGCAAACTATTCCATGGTGCTACCTTGTGGACCGCAAAGAAATACTTTCTCACATCGAGGAGGCGTAAATGTAGAACATATTTTATTTTGTATCATATATTCGAAGGGTCACACGCAGAGCCCTTAATTACCCTCTAAATGCGTGGCTACTTTGCACGCTTACAGTCATTATAAAATTGCAGACTTCTGGAGCTGTGTTGGAGCCAAAATACAACACCACTAAAAACTGTTTGGTGTTCAGTATGAGTCAGTACAGAAGGGGATAGAGCATGAAGTGTTTTTAAGGCTGGCTGTGAGTTATAATGTTGCGAAAGACAAGCTACATCAACAATTCTGAGGTCAGGTTTACTTTTAGAACTGAATATGGTGTCGATCATCACCATATCATTTCTTAGCAGGTTCTACCTTCAGACTACTCGTTGGCTGAAAAAGTGTTTTCCGAGATACTCTCGCGTATGTTTGCTGCTTACCTTGTACAGATGACTGCGACGATGAGTTCTGAGTGCAAACGCAAAACAGTCCTCCGGTTTCAGCCAGCAAACATGGTTACGGACATTCTGGAATGTCAACAGCTGTCTGCACTTTAATTGTCAGTAAGGAAGGGGAAATAAATCAAACTCTTTCAACCTATTCTGACACGATAAGTCCTTTGGGCCATCGACTGTCTTTGTTGCCCTGAGTTACACATTCTAGAGGAGATAAATATACTTCCCCATCCACAGTTCCCAAACTGGCATTCTGTAATCCAAATGGGGTCTCACGAAGAAGCTGGAAGCTTTTCACGAAAATTCAGAAGGATGTATTCTCAACACAGGTCTAATTAAGATCTTGCTGCCTTCGTTTCACCTTATTGTATTCTGAAGGCATCAGACTCGCGGTCATCTGCATGCCCAGACCTTTGAGCATTTCTACATCCTTTAATGCAGTGAAGTTGACAAAATACGTTTTCCGAGATACTTTTCGATCAACGTTCATTTAGATTCGTTGAATTTTGAGGGGCACCTGTTCAACCAAACACTCAGTTCGTCGACTTCGCTTCTAATCTTCTTGTGTCGTCAGCAAAGTTGTCTTCAGCCCTCATTTTATGTCGTCGTCAAATATGACAGCTTCACAATCCGATTATCTGGCGCAGTCATTCAAATGCAGGAAGAGTAGTTGGCCTCGAACAGAACCGTGTGAGACACCACTTTAAACCTTGACCCATTTTTAAGCAGATTTGTCAACGACCCTCTTATCTACAGGACGGGAAATTTCGACCAATTTGAGCATCCTTCCTCGACTTCCTATTTTTCAAATACTCTGTATAATGAGTCGCTGTGGTACACCATCGAAGACCTTCATCCGGCGGACTGACCCCGTCTGCGGCCTTCATCCATTTCTCATGCAAATTAAGAAAACTGGTGAGGCAAAAGTGCCCTTGGCGAAGGCTATTCTTGTTATCGTACATTAGGTTGTCTTCCTCCAGATACTGCATTAGATATCTTTTTATAATGCGCTTCATTATTTTACAGGAGTTGGAAAATAAACTGATCGGATGGAAATTTTGGCGCCAATCCGCCATCCTCGGGTTGACAAGTGCCCTCTTCCATTCTTCCGTGGTTCGCCTTCTTCGAATTATTTGGGAAATATAATAGATAGTAGTATGCACATCTCATCGGCAAGTACTTGTGGCGAAAGTGGAAGTACTGGGGCCAAGTCAGGCGGTTTAATGGGTTCTCATCAGAATAGTTCCACCCTTGCTGGTGTAGATTAAAAGGGCAGTTCCTTTGTCCAGGAAAGGAAAGGAGATTTTGGTCGGTAGACGGGTGGAAAAGAAGAAACATAACTGGACTCCTGGATGAAGACCGATTGAAAGAAACTACAAAGACTAGATGCGCTGACTTGGTCATCAGTCTACAACGTTCGACCCGGAATCCTAGGGGCGGGGATTAAGCCCTGCTTTATTTCACTTCTCCGTATGCAGTCATGCGAGACTGTGGGGTGTTCCGGCGAATTTTACATCGTGTTCGGTTCGAATTCACCTTGAGACCTAACAGCTCTACTTTTTCAAATATTACTTTGTTTCTTATATTCGGGTAAATGTGCTTCATTTCCACTTAACTAATAACGCCTCATAAAGTGATTTACGTTTCGAAAGGAGCTTGTTGTCTCGATTTCACCTACTTCCGGCAGTTGTTGCTGTCATTCTTTTGTGAGGATAGTTGCGGCCTACAATCATGCCCAGTAACGAAAGGAAAGTCCTTCAGCAGTCATTTATTGTATCACGTAGTTTAGTTTACCGTGGCACCCCTGGGCTTTCTTTCCCATATGTTCATCATCCTTTTACAAATGTTCTTCTCCCATCTGTCGGGCAGATTTGGTTTAGCAAACAGTGAGTACTCGAAGTGTAGAGTATTGTGGCCAGTAGACCTTATCGATGATAATTCCTGTAAGTCAAGCACGTTCTCCTCCCAGGTAAATATGATGCTAAGACCGTCTGATTGTTGCCCTTAACTAACCTGTGTTCAGAAAGTTAGTCTCGGACCGTAAATTGGTTTTGAGGAGCCTTGGGATGACCCCAGGCCAAGATCTAACTTTGTTTTGCCTAGTCAGAGAGCTTTTTGTTCAGCGATTAGTTTCTTTTTCACAGGACAGTTTCGGTGCAATCACATAGATACAGGTTGTACGCCGTCCGTTCC